GGGATTGCAAAAGCATCATGATGTGTAAGCCTGTAAGACTCATTCTTGATACAACTTCATCAATGTTTTTATCTTCTTCTCAAGGCCATGACTCCGGCATAGTTGAACGGGGTCAATGCACGGAGTATATTGTCCAATACTTGCATGAAGAGATGACTACAGTTAGTTTATCCATCATTGTTGCTACGACTGAGCCTTAAATCACTGGAAAAGAGGTGTTGTTGTCGAAGATCACCTGGGGTGGGTTCGGTTCGAACGGTTTGGTTTTGACCCAAAACCAACTGCCAAACCAAAGTAAAAAGTTCGATTCAGTTTTATCTTTCAAACTTGAAACCATGGTTTCTTCAGTTTTTGACAAAATATTTTTGTTGATTAGAAAACATAATAATTGGAAAAGAAAAACAAAAAATAAATTACATCGAACAATAATTATTAGTAATATAATACAAAAACATAATTAAAAAAGAGAGAAGAAACAAATGCACTTCAAAGCAATGAATTAGAGAGTGTTTATTGCTTAAATATTTTTTGAAATAATTAAACACATAGGTTAATATATGAAATATAGTTAGTGCAGCCTCAAGTTAAACTTTTATTTGTAAAGGTCGTGTCCACTGATTCATTTTCTTTTTCAATAAAATATTTTTTATTGATGGTAAATAATTTAAAATAACTTATTCTACTTTCTTTTTAGACAAAGGTATATATGCTCTAAAGTTTCACGTTTTGTGCTTAGTTGTTTGAAAATAGAGGAATAATATATATGTTGTTTAAGGTATAATTTGGATTATTACATATTTCTTAAATAATACTCCCTCCGTCCCATAATACTTAGCCAATGTTGACTTGCACGTAGATTAATAAAGTAAAAACTGTGTGGTTGATATTGGTGCAGAGGAGAGAGAAATAACTTTAGCCACATATTTGTTACTTTAAATGGAAATGGAAAAGTATTTTGGGACGGCCAAAAAAGGAAAGTTGGCCAAGTATTATGGGACGGAGGTAGTAAAAATTTGTGCAATAACAAACAAAAGTAACTAATAATATAATAGCAAAATATCATTGTCATGTATCAAAAAGCAAAGTGTAAATTACAATTTAAAATATCAACATATTAGTATTAGCAATAGACTAAAGTGTATATACAAGTGTCTCACTTAATTAAACAATAAATATCAAATGATTCAAATGTCAATATCTTGAAAATCATAATAACTCTAGTATCAATCATTAACTTTCAAGAATTAAGAACTAAACAAAAAATTATGCTTGATGATTAATAAAATAACATAATTTAAAAAGTTCAATTTGTTCGGTTCTGCTCGGTTTTTAGAGGTGAAAACCAAAACTGAAACCTAATAACTATGGTCCGGTTCAACTTTTGAGTTCGGTTTTGGTTTTCTTGCAGTTCGGTTTGTTTTGCTTGCCGTTCGGGTTCTGTCGGTTCAGTTTTCAGTTTTAGGCTTCACCTATCCACCCCTAAAGATCACTAGGTGGAGCTCCCGTTTTGTTCATAATGTGATGGTTGTTTGGTTGACTTGAGTGTTCAGGTGAGCAAAATTCAGTCATTTCCAACGTGTCCAGAAAAGAAAAACTTTCAAAATGGCACAAGAAAGGACCAAGTCTCTCAATGGAAGTACCCATATTGGTCTAAATGAATTTGTGTGAAAGCATGTCAAGTATCTAGCTAATTTCAGAATAATTCAAGAAAATAGAGATGAAGAAGAGAAGGTGTGCATAACAATGGCAGCAGTCGTATAACAGAGAAGAGAGAGAAATACAAAGGCAGTTTAAAGAGTGCCAACTCTCCAAGTCCCAGCCCAACAAAATAATACCAGCCTCCTTTCTATTGCACCCTCCACATCTATTTATACTAACTATTCTAATATTATTATTACTCTCATTTATTATTATTCTATGTAGGTCCCTAACACTACTTCCCCTTTGACAACCACCTTGTCCTCAAGGTGGGTGATAGTAGAGAGTCCTGATGAACATCCTCTTCCTCATCTTTGCGCCTCTTCCTTCCCAGTAGGTTGCTGAATGTTGTGCCTTTAGCTTTGGTACTTGAATCTTCATTCCCCAGTTCTTCTTAGCAAGAAAGAGCAGAAGTAAAGACATGGTGGCATAATGCTCCCTGGTGTTGTAAAAATCTCCAGTGTCTGCATCTCCTGTTGAATTCTTGGCTTTTGTTCCCACATCTTTTCAAAAGAATTAACCTCAGGTTGATCACGACCTGGAACCCGTTCAAAAGCATCTGATTTGAGATCCCCGTTATAATAACACATCAACATCTTCCCAGCAAATATTTGTCTCTAATACTCTCAGCAATGAACTTGATCCTTTCAAAATCTATGGAGGATAAGGCACAGCATGCTACCTCATAGAAAGCAACAACAACTTGCTTACAAAGATCTTCATCACTATTCTGCAGTCGCTCAGAAAAGGCAAACATAATCTGATGAGTTTCAGCTCTAAATGGATCATAGAGCAAACCAGTTTTAACCTTTTCACGAACACAAATACAAACTTCCACTGTTTGATCAATCAACCTCTTCAAAAAAAACCTAACTAACAGTTGAAAAACCTCATTGATTACAAATTTGGGCATAGCCAAGAGGTCCCAAAACCAGCTACAGACTTCTAATCGTGTATCCCGTAAATCAGTCTCTGCCTCTCCGGTTTGGATTGCGTCATAGGAGAAATATAGGTGTAAACTACTCGTTGAACAACTGCATTCAGCCACTTTCCATCACTTTTGAGTCTTTGACACCACTGGCAATTTCTGGCTTTAACGAATAATCCATGAGATGCTCTCTGTTGGAAACATCAATTACAACAGCTTGATTCGTAAAGTCCAGGTCCACACGGATTGTATTCAACATTTCAACTGGTCTTCAAGAGTAAACTTATCATCCCATCTCAGTCCAGAATTAAAGGAGTCCCAATTTGCAGAAAGTATCAGACTGTAGCCCTTAACTGTCATCCCCTTTTTCCTTGCTAAGTTGCCCCGGAATAATACAACACCTTCACCCTTAATGGTTTGGTCATGACTGTCACCCATTTCCCAATCCCTCTCTATTGTCCTGGATATCTTGATCCCATGAACAACAATTGCCATATGAAACCTATAGTTCAAACCTGCACATCCCCTTTGAACAGGTATACAAACTATTGGCATACTGCTTACCTTTTGACCGATTATCAAGGCCTCTTGGAAGATAGCAGGACTGTTTTCATTGTTAAGCATCAGGAACATGTCAGCCTTATCATCAGTAGCATAATCCTCCTTTTCCTTCCAATTCTGAGTAACTATTACCCCCAACTAATTTAGAATATACCTTATAAAGTAACACCCTCACATCTGAAACTATCAAACTTGTTAAATGACTTCATTCCTTCCAAAGTAATGTTTAATGAATGACAGTACATCATTTCAGACTTTAAAGCATTAGGCCAGTTCATCTCCTGTACGAAACTAGAACTCATTGTGGACTTAGCCACACAAGCTGCAGTATCACATACCTGAAGAATCTTGAAAATATTGGTTCCCGATTCTGACTTGACGGACTGGTACTTGAGAAAACAAGCAATGTGTCCGCTTGAGGTCCATCGGCAACTGTAATTTGCTCCTTGAGTTTTTCTTCTGGATTTGGTTTCTTGATTACAGATTCAGCTGGCTTCAACTCAGTATTCTTTATCGATTGTGGAATCCCCAGCAATCTATTTCCAGAATCATCAAGATCTAGGGCTCTGGAAAAAGAGACTTGCGCAGAGTGAGGATTGACTTGCGATGACCATTGGTTACGCTCGTTTACCCACGGCGAACTAGTAGCAACTGTTATCGCCTGAGACGAAGCTTGCGAACTCAGCCAATCCAACAGCAGCGAACTCTGCGAAGGTTGAAGAGCAGTTTGCGAACTGTTCTTGCTTTTGGAGTTCCGGAATCTTTTTATGGCCTCTCCAGATTGCTTTCCCAACTTTCGCAACTACGTTCCATCATCTCATAATCAATTTCCTCCATATTCAATATCCAATCTTTACTCTTTACTCTTTTGACGGCCATGATCAGGTGCAAGAACGATGCTCTGATACCAATGTTAGGTACCTAGCTAATTTCAGAGTAATTCAAGAAAATAGAGATGAAGAAGAGAAGATGTGCATAACAATGGCAGCAGTCTTATAACAGAGAAGAGAGAGAAATACAAAGGCAGTTTAAAGAGTGCCAACTCTCCAAGTCCCAGCCCAACAAAATAATACCAGCCTCCTTTCTATTCAACCCTCCACCTCTATTTATACTAACTATTCTAATATTATCATTACACTCATTTAATATTATTATTCTATGTAGGTCCCTAACAAAGCGTTATTTAAGAACAGCAAGAAGCAAGTAAGAGAGTGATTAAGTATGTATAAATGTATAATGTATTAGCTCAGAGCTGATCGCGTTCATTGCAGAGATGGTGAACGACTATGGTGCAGAAAATGCACACAAGGAAACAATAGGAAAGCCCATAATAACTAAGAAACTAAGCCGATTTGAACAAGAGCCACCTCGATCATTTAACCTTGACATCTTACATGGGTCACAGGTGAATACTACCAAGTAGGCATGAACTTGACAAGCCCACAGAGCAGGTTGGTCATCACCAAGCTGAGCTCATCACCAAGCTGAGCTCATCACCAAGCTGAGCTCAAGCACCTGCGAGCCGGTTGGACTGGGCAATGAAAGATGGGCCATACAACTGGGGTCATGCAGGTTACACGCCTATACATTCATATCATGGCCGCCTACTGGGCTTTGGGCTGAGCCCCCATAGTACCATCACCATTACAAGTAATGATAAAAACAGCTTATCAATGTTAACTAATAACTATTACCAAAACCAACAAACAAATATTTGTATTGTATCCCCTCGAAAGTTAGGAGCTCTACACGTGGTAAATTCCTTCCCGAAATGGATCTAACCATTGTTAAAGCTGCACACAATCACTGTTACCTTTTTATGGAGCACTCTATATTGGTTGCATCTGAAGAGGCTACTTGTGGTTCTGTCATTGCAAATCCTGATCGTATGCTTCCTTCAAGCAAGGGTACAAGCCATTCCTTCATCTGTTCTGCATTCCCATATCGAAGTAATACCTAAAAAAACATATAGATATCTAATGACTGCAAAATAGCATGCATAGTTAAGTAATTACACATGGACTACTTAAATGTAATGCTATTTATATACTACGTCCCTAATGTATCCACATTTCTCTTTTGGTGCGTCCCAAAATTATCCCCAATTCCCTTTTGAGGAAAACCTTATGTGGCTTATATTATTTCTTCCTCATCTAAATAAATTTTAACCATGCAATTTTCTTTTTCTCAATCTCCAAGCCGGTCAATATTTGCTTGTAAAACTTAGGACAGAGGGAATATCATATTAGACGATTAGATGAAGAAAATTAGGTGTTCGAATACAATATTAGATTTATCATTAAGTGCGAAAAATATGCCATATCAAATGATCATCTGAAAAATCATCAACTGCTTTTATCTTCTTCGGTCAGTTTTTTCATGAATGCCTGATTTATCAGAAAAAATGAGAGCCTGCAAACAATACTGTGGTATCCTGACATCATTCTACATCCTTTACCTCCATATTTCCAGTATCAGGTGCTCCGCAGTTGAAGATCTGTGGTGCCCAAATAGAACGACCCATTAACTCACATAGATACCCATATTCCAGATTGGATAGCCCTGCACCTAGCAACCAATCATATCCCCTGTCTGGTGGAGCATCACCTTTTTCTCCGAAGATAAGTTCTCGTGCTCTAGTTGCACTATCATACTGCAGGAGTAAATGGAAAAAATCGTCAAACAACACAAAAAAGATATTTTATTTCACTAATGTTTTAGCAACTTGTCTATGTTTATGATGTGTGGGTGCGTGTTGTACGTTTCTGGAAATAAATGGTAAGATTATATACAGGTATAAACAAGTTCCAAAGGCCTTCTGCTTTTGCCAGTCCTTTTAATTTCTCCTCGTCTGGGTGAACTGTCCAACGCGTGGTAGATTGAGCCAGTTTGTAGAATTCATGTTCCCTTGGGTATATGTGATGCTCCATGAACTTGATCAATCTGTCTCTCAAATCTTGAACTTTTCTGTTAGGTACAAACCTAGCTCTCATGGGGCATACTAGATTCAGACTTTCATGATCACGTTGTTGTTTCCCCAAGGATCCAATTGTACCTGAGTAGTTGAAACCGTACCAGCATTTTAGTCAATACACTTGAATATTGAGACACCCAAATTAAAACAATCAGACATAATCAGCTAAAGCTAAACAGCCAACTCCATCTCTATCATCATTTCTCCAGAAAAGTTACAGGACCAGAAAGCAACATGATTAGGTAGAGTAACTAATGTTCTGGTTGCTCTGCATTTCTCACAAGGATTGAATCAAATGATATGCAATGGCTAATCAGCCAATTCCGTCTCTATGATATGTAACTTTCCAGAAAAGTCACATGACACAAAAAGCAAGATATGATTAGGCAGGGTGCTCGACAGATTCTCACAAGGATTGAATCAGAATGAGCTTGGATATCTTCATTTTGATATCATGAAGATATGGCGTAAAAGGCATTGCATATGGTGATGGGAGTGTGGCGTACGCAATATTGCACTGAGGCGTACGCAATAAGGCGCTCTGAGGCGTATGCAATAGGAGGTCAGGGTGTAAGGGTAGTATTTGGGCCCACTCGGCCCACTTTTAAATTTTTATAATTGATGTAATGATCCAAAGATTCATTATTTTTTGGCTTGAGATTATGATGGAATAAAGCAAAATGGCTCACTAAACTGTCTGCGCTTCTTTGTTATGGAGAAGCAGTCAGTCCATGCAATTTTGAACGCGATTTTCACTATGGGTCATCCGGAAACAGTCTTTCTGTGCTTTAGTACAGGGGTAAGATTGCGTACATCCGACCCCCCTTTACCCCACCGTAGGTGGGAGCCTTTGCGGCACTGAGGTAAATGAAAATGATGATGTAATGATCCCTATTTCAAACCACTACTAACTGATTGGATTTTTCAGTCAATCAATCTAATAAATTTTAATTTTCATATCTTAGAAATTTTGTTATGATGAATGATTCAGAACATTTCCTTCTTATGTTCTTATGGTATTGTTATCTTATATTTATCTTTAGCTTATTTGTTTTATCTTACTTTAATTTTTATTTTATTATTATTATTATTTTCTCTTTTTTTTATTCTTGTTTGTCTTCTCTTTTTGGCACTGATATCATGGTTCGATTCATGTTAGCCGACCCTGTCTTTTGAGATTAAGGCTTGGATGTTGTTGTTTTAATGATTCAGAACGTTTTGGTATTCTATGGTACTTTGAAGTTTGAACATATTACTTTGCTAGGATTATGGCCTCTGGTGGTTTGTTTTGATATAACATTTGACGACTTTTGATGAGTATGTTTATTATGTATGTATGTATATGTATATATATATACAGGAAAAAGATCATGTCCATCCGGATGGACGGAGGCACCGTCCGGCCGCCGCCGTTTGGGGCGGTTCCCGATAGTATTTTTTATGAAACATTTTAGCATGTTCCTCATCAAGTCTAGTTTATAATTTTTGGGAAATAACTGCGTTTTATAAATATAATTTGGCGCAGTTATCTTCAAAAAAATATTTGACTGTCTTCCCGATCGAATTTTTAGCTGAAACTTTGTGTTGATAAACTAGACTTGATGAGGAACATGCTTAAAAAGTTTCATCAAAAAAAACCATCGGGAACCGCCTCAAACGGCGGCGGCCGGACGTCGCCTCCTGTCCCTTTGGCTGAACAGGATCATTCCTCTTCTCTCTCTCTCACTCTCTCTCTCTCTCTCTCTCTCTCTCTCTCTCTCTCTATATATATATATATATATATATATATATATATATATCACGCCTCAGGCATACACCTCAATGCGCAATGAGGCTTACGCAATATGCAATATTTAATAAACACCATGACTACGCAATTTTGAACCTTGATGAAGACTCAATAAAGCTAAAATCATTTTACATGTGAGACATGGCAATAACATCATGATCCATTTGTGGCCCATAGGTAAGGTTCCATATAACAACATCAAAATTATCAAACAAAGCTCTTAGACAAGCTACAAATCTAACATTAGAAGATATCAACATATCAATACAACAGACAACATAGTTAGTATGTATTAGTCATGCGAAACACAAAATGAACTCGTGGTACACCACAATGCTGTCATTAAATATCAAAAAAGCTTAATAATCTTATTTACCAGTTGGGGGATGTGGTGGTAGAACATGTTCTCTTCTAATAAAGGACCATGCAACTTTAATGAGAGAATTAGACATCTCTCCAGCAAGTCTGGCACGTTCACCTCCTGACGCATTACCCTGCAACTCACAAATAGAACGGCTCTTGTCATACGCTTGTAAAACAAAAATATTATACTACCTCCGTCCCGAAAAGGTTCGCCATATTGACTTTTCTTGGTCAATGATGGCAAACTTTGGACAATGATTTTAATTATTATATTTATATATAATTTATAAATTTTATACTTTTATAAATACATTTTGAATACAGAACATTTTGATAAAACTTTCATATTCAAAATAATTTTCGTATTAAAAAATATAAATAGTCAAAGTTGATTGCCATTGACCGAGACAAGTCAATTTGGCGAACCTTTTCAGGACGGAGGGAGTATTAGATTTTGATGAGGAACTTTGGAGCACCGGTTAAGGTGTTGTGTGACCAAGAGGTCACAGGTTCAAGTCTTGAGAGCGGCCTCTTGTCAGAATTTGACAGGGGAATGTTGGCCCCTTATACACCCTTGAGGTGGGACAGTGGGACCCTTCCCTGGACCCTCCCCTTGCGGGGTGCCTTCATGCATCGGGCTGCCTTTTTTTATTTACATTTCGTTAGTCTCAAAATGAGAGTTATTATGATTTACAAATCCTACTCTGCGAGTTTTTCCCCAAAAATAATGCTAAATAAAAATAATACGAAAATGGGGTTGGGTTAAAAGTATTTCCCAAATTGCTGCTAGGTGAACTATAGTTAGCAAAAATGCCACTTGAATCGGCAGTTTATGCGCAAAAAGAATGGCGCTAGAAGCCCAAGACTAAAGAGAATAAAAGCATTGTGGGTCCCAGAGTAATATAAAAAGCCTATTTTTTAAAAACTGCTATAACTTTTTTATTTGTACTCCGATTGTTACAAAAACTATATCAAAATTTATAACTTTCTATTATATTTCATATGATGCCAATACTGCATATATAAAAATAACAATAAAAATTAGCACTTAAAAAACTTATATTTCTAAAGACCTATAGCTTTTTTATTTAGACTCCGATTGTTACAAAAACTATATCAAAATTCATAACTTTTCATTATCTTTCATATAACACCAACATTGCATATGAAAAATTAAAAATTAAAAATTAAGTGCTATAAAAAGTTTTAAATTATTTTTTTATTTTTAAATATGTAATATTGTATCATATAAAAGATAATAAAAAGTTATGAATTTTGATATATTTTTTGTAACAATCGGGGTACAAATAAAAATGTTAAAGCACTTTAAAAAATACTACGTAGAAAAATTTTTAGTGCTAAGTTTTAGTATTATTTTTATATATGCAATATTGGTGTCATATGAAAGATAATAAAAATTTATAAATTTTGATATATTTTTTGTAACAAACGGAGTACAAAATTTAAAGTTATAGCAGTTTAGAAAATAGTTTTTTATTTCACTGGGACCTGCGGTGCTTTTATTCTCTTTAGTCATCCTAGTGCCATTCTTTTTGCGCATAAACCGCCAATTCAAGTGGTGTTTTTGTTAACTATAGTTCACCGAGCAGCATTTTGGAAAATACTTTTAACTCAACCCCAATTTCGTACATATTTTTTCTTTAGCATTACTCTGAGAAAAAACTCCTACTCCGCTATAATACTTTTATTAAAAAAATATTTTTGATGTTATCTTCGATACCATCTTCAACCCTTGAAATTATTAAAAGATCACTTCCGTGTTTGATTTTTATAATGCATACCTTTACATTATGATATAATAACCTTCAACGCTTGAAATTAATCCAAATAGACTTTACTGAGTTCCTCGATGACTCATATACTCTGACAGAGTCTCAGACACTCCCTCTGTCACTACTAACTGTGTGCTTACCCACACTTCAACTTCTATCATTTCAATAGGATGCACCGTCTTAAACAAATCCCCATACATTTTTCATTAAAACCTATATATCCAACATCTCTTGACCAAAAGAAAGGAGGCTGAGTAAAATATTTATAAGAGTTTAAAACAAAGTTACCATGATCCATCTATTATGAACGCCTGAATATATTGATGCTCCACGAAACAATGAAAACGCCATGTAGAACTTCCACTTAGTGACAGGCCACTCTTTACCCTGGTATCAATAACTTGTGCAAATGAAAACATGTTAGAAGTTAACTTGATAGAGGTCAACTAAAAAACTAAGACTTCACATGTAAAATAGATCTCATGCTTTGTTACTCAGCATTCAGCAAATCTGTTAATATGATAAACACCTCAATTTCATTATCATAGCATGCCACAGATCACTTCGGTGCTTGATTTCTAGTTTCCTTTATTTTATTATCCATAGCCAATAAGTGAAGTGCATGCATACAAGTGCATGCAACCCTGGCCCTGGCCCTGCCCTGGCCCAGCCCATATTAAAAAAATGTCTATATTTTTAGTGTAAAAAATTCCGTGTAAAAAGTTTTTCAAAAAAAATCTTTGTATGTCCCCACAGTGACTTTTTGGATAAATAAATGACTGTCTGTTGCTTTATTGCTTAGGATGTTTTTACTTGGACTGTTTTCAGTCCCAGACCAAACCAGAACAGACTTAACCAGACCAGACCAGACTTTACTTCCGTAGTTATAAAATACACAGACCAGACGTTTACTAGACCAGTTCAGACCAGACTTAAACAGTTCATACCAGACTTAAACAGACGAGACTTAAACAGACCATACTTAAACAGACCAGACCAGACCAGCAAATTATAGTCCAAGTAAAAACATCCTTAATGAAGCCTTTAAAGGATATCTTTTCTAAACGGCTAAATTACAGGAACCAATTTAGTATCTAGATTCTAGACTGACGCAACAAAACATACGTAGGAAATGAAAAGGTACTCTTAACTCTTAAGAGGAAACACAACAATAAGAGGTATTTAGTTCGAATTATCACTTGTCAATTGTCACAGATAAACTCAGATTATAGAAATACCTACTAGATGGAAATTTGAGAACACTATATGAGTATTTTCAGAATATGGAAATATAACATTAAGTCATTAACTTGTTTGGTTGTAGTTTATATTTCGACGTATATTGATTAATTTACTAAAATACCTGGTATAAGTATATGTGTCGTTAACTCAAAAAATTATCCTAACTCCAAAGTGCGCAAGTCATTTGATATATTTTATCAAATGACTCATTCATTAATATGGTGCACCAGATGTTGCAATATATTACATTAATAATTTATAATCTCTGAGCACAACATACAAAATTAGTCAGAGATAACTTATAAAAGAGTGTTTAATTAATAAGAATGAGAAATAATGAATAAAAGATCATCATCATCATTACCCCAGTGCCGCAAAGGCTCCGACCTATGGTGGGATAAGGGGAGTCGGATGTACATAGTCTTACCCCTATACTAAAGCATAGAGAGACGGTTTCTGGATGACCCATATGAATAAAAGATAAACAATAAAAAAACACTTGCTGGTTCTTGATAGAGAGAAGAAAAGGTTATGGCAGTGAGAGGAAGAAATAAACAATGCATGACATTAGTATTTGATTGATTAGAATATTTTAAACAAATAAAAAATGGCTTGTATTCAATTCAATGACATGAATATTTGATAACTTCCAAGTTCCATCTAACCTCATTTTCTATTGTGGAGGTAATAATATATTGTCAAGGTTATGAATTACATAATAAAGCCTTACTAACATAACCCAAGTTATAGAATACTTCCTACGTCTGCAATCTTTGTCCCATCTTTCTTATTTCATCCATCCCATTAAGCTTGTTTCATAATATATTTGGTAATGTTTGTGTGGTTCCAATTCATTTTGACTTTAATCATACTGCAAAAATTTAATAATAACCGCATAATTCCATTTTTTGATAATTGTGTCACTTCTTCATGTCCCAATGCTAGTGGATGGATGTAGTATAAGTTAACTAGATGCACCTAGGGGAAACAGAATGAATTCTCATTTAATCACAGATATGCTATGATGTTCTGATATTTCTTTCAAACAACAGCACGAACATCAATGTTTTAGAATATGGCTATACATATTCATGAGCATAGTGAATTTACATTATTTTATAAAACGCTTTTAGGCCCACATACAAACACAAACAAATAAAAAATATAGATTCATGACTATCAGCAAGCAATGGACTTACAGCAGTTGAACAGTAGTCTGCCAAGAATTCGGATAGAGAAGGAATCCCTTCCGGAATCGTTTTAAGTTCAAACCCATCATTCTCTTCTAAAGGCAGCATTGAAATATTGACAATATAGTTCTGAAAAAAGACGTAAGAAACATCAGAATGGTCCACAATGAGAAATCACATTAATCTCATGACCTGAATCCTAGTCAGTAGGATACTCATTACGGAGCCCTTAGAATCATGATTGGAAATACTGCCTTAAATTTCAAGAAATTGGGTGAGGGGGTTAAACATTTTTTCAATTGAATCAAGTACCATGCAGCAGTAAGCAACATCACACATCTGATTACCCAGAGTTGAAAGTTCCCAGTCGAGAATCCCAATGACTTTGTCCTGATATTCGGAACATGAGTTAGTCTCATTTCAGTGCAACTGTGCAAGCAAGAGAAAACGTAATAGTACCACTCTTTTCATGGTTCATACTTCACACCTCACTAAATTCCATGTATGAACTCAATACATATGTTAAAATACATCACTATATCAGTATTAGGGAAATTCTGAAGTAAACTTTGAAGATATTACCTCTATGGGATGGAAAACAAGATTATCAATTCGAAAATCTCCATGGACAAGACCTGCCGTTCCCCCAGAAGAATCTTCCAAAGGAATGTGTTCCCGCAACCAGTCAGCTAGTTCTAACATTTTATGGTTTCTCTCCGACTTGCCCTTGCCAGTGGATAAGAGATACTGTTTGGCCCATCTCTCCACCTAAAGTAGGTTAAATAATTAATTAGTCCATCAGAGCACATCATCTCTAAGTAACTTTACGAAAGGAAATGCAAACACCAAAGCCTAATCACTTAACCAATCGATTGTGCGAAAAGTAGAAGCCATTGTTAACCACATAGACACTATCCACAAAGTTGAATTGACAAACATATGTGCTTAATCGGGAAATGATTTAATGGTCTTAACCAAAAAGTATGACATAATTACTTAGCCATTAAGCTGTGTTTACTTATAACTTAATTGTAAATATGACATAATCACTCAGGACAAAACTGACTTAATCACTCGGCCTGTCGGCCTCATATATTAGATATTACTTCTGTTTCATCCACCAACTCCACCATTTTTTTAAAAACCCATGAAGGAATAGATGTGTATTAATAAGTGAGATAACTCATGGACAAGCAATCCGAAGAGAACCTTAAATTGGTTATTCTACCCAAGGTTCGAAATTGTGTATTGCATAGTTCAAACTGTTTGTAGGGATTGTATATTGCTTAAGCCTCATTGCGCAATGGAGCGTAAGCGGCTCAGATTTCCACACATTGACATAAAAATATTCAAAATAACATTAATAATCAATTTAATTATATAACAAAATACTCCTCATTACTTCCATCATTTGCAATGGAGCCAAAGACTCATTATTTTTTGGCTTGAGAATATGATGGAATAAATCAAAATGGCTCACTAAACTGTCTGCGCTTCTTTGTTATGAAGCAGTCAGCCCATTCAATTTTTTATGCGATTTTCACCATTGGTCATCCGGAAATAGTCTCTTTGTGCTTTAGTAGAGGGATAAGACTGCGTACATCTGACCCCCTACCCCAATGTAGGTGGGAGCCTTTGCGGCACTGGGGTAATGATGATGAATGATGATGAACAAAATACTCCTCATTAAACCTCAACAAATATGTTGTCAACAAACAATAATAAGGTCATAAATCCATGAAAATAATAAGTTCAAACATCATAAAGTAAAAAATATTTGTAATCCTATTAAATGTAAAGTTTATTAATTGAGGAATGAAAAATAGGCCCATCAGTATCTAGTGGTTCGAAATAAGGAAAAAACAACCGACATCAAATCCACCATCACCATTAAGATTAGTTGATTCACCGCTGCCGTTACCATCACCATCAACTTCCAAATCAAATACTAACTCGAAAATTGCAAAGAGAAAACGTTGGGAAGAGAAGATAATTTCATTTGGATGTTGACATCATACTAACAACAACGTTCCCCCAACGCCGCAAAGGCTCCAACCTATAGTGGGGTAAGGGGTCGGATGTACGCAGTCTTACCCCTGTACTAAGGATGTTTTTACTTGGATTGTTTTCGGTCCTAGACCATACCAGATTAGACCAAATCAGATCAGACTTGGATAGTTATAAAATACATAGAGACTAGACGCTTACCGTACCAGACCAATTCAAACCAGACCAGAAAAGTTTAGTCCAAGTAAAAACATCCTAAAGTACAAAGAGTCTGTTTCTGGATGACTCGTGATGAAAATTGCATCGAAAATTGCATGGATTGAATACTACTTCATAATAAGCAAGCGCAGACAGTTTAGTGAGCCAATTTTTCTTTAGTCCATCATATTCCCAAGACAAAAAATAGTGAGTCTTTGGCTCCATTGGAAATGATGGAAAGAGCATATCATACTAACATCGAACAAAATTTAACATGATTTTAACCGAGTAAACAAATAATTAAAAGAGTACATGATTAGAGAAATGATAATGAAGAGTCGCGAACGTTGAGTTGTACTCTGTATAAATCCTACGGCAGGAAGGTGATAGTTAAGAAGAGAAGTTTTAATGAAAAATGGATTATTTTTTAAAAGGGAACAAAATATTTACTTAAAACTTGAAAGAGCAATTGTGAACGCCTCAATCCCGCCTCAATGTGTACGCCTCGCATAAAAAGGTGTAAGCCTCAACTTTGCGTAATTTGGGAATCGCCTTAGTGCCTAGTTTCCCCAAAACTTGATGAGACGGGCATTCCACAATTACGAGCCATGGTTCTACCCTATTCAGACTATTTATTCAAAACACAGGGTAAATAACCCCTTAGACAATGACTAGTAAATCCTAACAGACATCTAGACAGAACTTAATCGATATAAAAGTAAACAGCATCTAATATATAATGGGCACACCTGTCTCTTGCAGTAGTCGTTCTGCTTTCCATAACTTGATAAACCAATAGCATCAACATTGGCTGAATGAACTGAGGCTAAAGCCTGGGCAGTTGCACCATATATTGCCTTCCTTTGTTTAGGCGGTAGATCCTTATAAAAGGATTAACATAACATTGATCAAACAAAACATTGTACTCGAAAGCAATGTACTCCGTACAATACTAGCATATAATTGGTATGAAGTTATCCAGGGGCTGCATTCAATCGACTGTAAAACTTAACTCTTCCATAATATCTGAATTAGTATCGGTAATTAAAATTTACATATTTGAAAATCACTCTAAAAGTTCTACTGAACTGCAGAAACCAAATATGAATATATTAATAAAATTGTTATTTACAATCAAAGATGCAAGTTGACTGTAGAGTATTTAGGAACAGTAAATTGAGACAGGTGGAGTAATTGCAAATTGGGTTTGAGATGGTATAGAGTTCATACGGGAAGCTTAGGGTCAATGAAAATACGACCTTCCAAATACTCCATTACATAAAATGGTGTTCCAATCACACTTGATTCCGTACACAAACAGAAGACTTTAGGAACTGGCACCAGTGTATGGGTACCTAATGCATTTAGGACCTGCCACATTAAACTAATGAAGTCTCTAAAATGAACAAGACAGGCAAATAACATTCTGCAAAGAGTGAAGAAGATTGTACTGTTCACAATTATACAGCACCTCATATTCTCTCTCAACAGCATGAGCAGATTGAAGCAGTTCACCAGGAGGTTTCTTTCTCAATACATACTTCATCACCTTATCACCGGAATGAACCTCCATGAGAAATGTCGGGTTCGATTGACCATGTCCAAACTGAGTCATAAATAAATACACAACATTAGAACCACAGGCGTAGCTACCCAGCAGTAAGCAGTTTGATGCTGAATAATATCATAACCCAGATATCCCCAGACTTGTTATCTTAAACTGCAATCCAATTGCAGCTGAGCCTAAAGAAAATACCTGAGAAATGGAGAGTTTAGTTGGAGAACGGGGGAAGCCATGAACATGCGCAGAGCAGTAGAGGAGGAGGGCTTCTGTATCAAATAGACGAGCTTGATCGACTTGGCTAGCGAGATCGGAGGTTCGAGATGCCATGCCTAGAATGAATTGCTGAACTAGAAGTACCTGTATTCCTTCCTGTAGAGTTCAAGCGAAATTATAGGCTTGTGATGTGAGTAAAATATAATTAAAAATGGTGAGATCCTCTGAACGCTTCAGGCTCTCTCCCTTCTATCTTAACAATAATCCAACTATCAATTATTTCAGAATAATCTCAATTTTACGGACCTTCCACCAATAATAGTCCGACGTGCCCGACTATAACTAAATTCGTATAGTTTCTAAAGAGATATAGCAGTTCATCCTTATAAATTATCCTAAATTTTAATTTTTACGCTTAATTTCTATTAAAAATTCACTTGTTAGAGCAGGTAATATGCAGTCAACCATTATTGACGGACGGTCCATATAGCTGAGATTATACAAAAATAATCAATATTTGGATTATTGTTAGCGGACCGGCATTAGTGATTTTTCAATTTTTCCTTTATAAAATCAAAGTTAGTGATTTCGTCCTTATCCTCTCACCTCTCTTGTTGCCAAATAGTACCTCCATCTAGGTGGACTTTGTCAAATGCAAAGTAGATGAGAAATAATAATAGTAAAAAATGTGTAATTAAGATTTGTGCAGAGAATTGACAAATGTGCAAAAACACAAATTAGTTATTTTGATAGGAAAGTTATAAAGTTTTTTTGGACAACAAAAAAAGAAAAGTTTACAAACTCCAATAGAACGGAGGGAGTATGTTTGTACACGAGTAAGTTCAACCCATTCGAGTACCCAACCCTTTCTTCATCAAATCATCATATCTAATTTTTCCCATTATTTCAGATTATTTATCTATCTACTTTCATCTATTTTTATTATCTTTTCAATTTTTTCAAATTTTATGTAAATTGATCGGACATACGCATCTACATAATTCATTTGGATGTATATAGACAATCAAATATTTTGCTCACTCGTACAATTAAAATTGATTACACAGACAACTGAAATAGATCACACAGAAAACTATTATTTGTGAGCAGCATAACTATTGTCTTTGAAATTAAATCTATGTGAACACAGAAAACTAAAAAGTGATCACACGGAAAATTATTGTCTGTGAGCCCCACAACTATTTTTCATGTGAAAAATTTTATTTGAAAAATTCATTTTCTAGTCACATAAAATAATTGTCTATGAACAGACAACAATTGCATGTGCACACAGGCACTGCACGTATAGATTGGTTTGCACGCCAATGTCAATATCAAGCGGTTGTCAGTATACTTGTATCTAAAATAGTTGTTTGTGTCTACGGACAACTGTTGTCTGTGTCACAGGCGACATCGTACCAATTGTTTGTGACAGACATTTTGTGTACAACTTGTATACAATAAGCAAAATTGTTCCTATATTTGCTTTGCAAAAACAAAAATGATGTTTTTACACACTCTTATACACACTTTTGTACACACCTATGTCTGTGAAAGCTTTTTTTGTCTGTGAACATCGATTCACAGACAATGTTTTGCACAAACAAAATATTATCTGTGAACCGGATTCACAGACAAAAAAAAAACTTCACAAACATGGTGTGTTTAATGTGTGTACAAGGGTGTGTACATCAAGCATGGTTGTTGCAAAAAAGACTTTAATCACAAGTTTGCATATATTTTCAAAGGCCAGGATTTGAGTTGGAATCTTATTTTTGGAGGCACTCTATCTACCGGTTAAGTTACGAATTAATCAAACACTCCCGTTCTCCTGTGAACAGTTATCACTAACCACTAATTAATCAAAACATTGTGAGATTCTAGCAAAAAATAAGGTTTTTACTTGTATTGTTTTCAGTCTCATATCTGATCAAACCAGACTTGGACAATTATAAAATACACAAACACAGACATTTACCAGACCAGTTCAGACCAAAATAGAGCAGATCAGACCAGACCTGCCCAAATCAGAAAATTTTTGTTCAAGTAAAAATGTCCTAAAAGCATGTTTGATAATACTGAAATTGACTGAATCATCTGATTCAGCTAAAATTTATGAATTTCTAGTTGTAGTGACTGGATTGACTTATTTTGTTGATTTATGAAAAAGTTATGTTTAAAATATTTTTAAATAGGGAAAATTATTATTAACCCCATGAGGTCATATCATAATTATTAATGCTACCTTGCATTTTCAAAAATCAATTAGTTACCCCCTAAGTTTTGATCATTCTCACTATATACCCCCTCACGTTAATATTTGTTAAATTAAATTTAATATACCTTGATGGAGTAATGAGACTAGGCCCGGAGCCTAATCAGCCCAAGCCCCGAACTTGGACCCGTGGATTCAAGTCCACAACCTGGAGCCTGCCAGCCAGCCCAGCGGGGAGCCTGCCAGTCCGGCAGACCTCCCAACCGGAAGAGTAACGGTCAAACAATTAATGCACTATTAATTATGTATTTAATTTCGTATTAATGTTGTAATTAATTAGTTATTATTATCGGTAGCGGTTACGGTTTGTATACGTCTATAAAAGGCGGGTTGTAACTCATATTATGGGAAGCAAATTCTACATGCTATTTCTGGCTACCAAATCCCCTTTGCAACTTTCCTTATTCATATTACTTTCTTGATTCCCGTTTGAGTGGCGTACGTAGCTTTCCTAAAAGTCTACGAGCGTCCTATTTTGGACCAACATACCTCTTAAATTCAATGAAAGTTGTATTTAAAATTAATTTTTAAAAATTCAAAACAATTTATCATCATAATTATAAGTCATTGTTGATGATCATTTGTTTTCAACTTAACTACTCGATCGTGGAGTAACAACTAATGAGAGCAGTTAAGGGAAAGACTCACGAGTCATATTCATGGGATACATAAAAAGAATTGTTTATAAAACGTGTTATCAAAATTCTAGGCACTTCTTCATTATTAATATACAAGTCTTATTTGTAATTCATTCAGTTGAATTAATCACAATGACATTTCTTTTGTGTGTAGCAAAGAACAAATACTAAGATTTTTTTTATCATTTCATGACCTAAAATATAGGTTTAGTATCAATAAGGGACCTAAAAGACAAAATGTGTGATGATTATTCCAATTATTCCATGATCTAAATAATTGAAAGCTATCAATCTAAGACCTAAAATATCATAGATTTTAATTTATTTAATTTTTTTATTAACTACGATCAACAACAATGACTTATAATTATGATACTAATATATGTTTTACATTAAAATTTAATTTTATAGACATTTTTCATTGAATTTAAGAGTTATATTAATTTTAAATTTAACATATATTAACGTGAGGTGGCAAAGAACGAGAATGATCCAAACTCAGGGGTAAGTGATTGATTTTTAAAAATGTAAGATTGCATTAATAATTATGACATAACCTTAGGGGTTAATAATAAATTTCCCTTTTAAATAATAAAAATAAAGAAAAATATATATGAAAAATAGTTAAAATGATTCGATCATCTTCAGTAACTTCAATCAATACAACTAGAAAAGTAAATTCAATCTTACTTTTTTCTTCTTATTATTATACGTAGTACAATTCCGCTTGCGAAATCAAAATTTACTGTCTTTGAAGAAAAACTTAGATGATAAGGTCGATAAGTCCAAAAATAGGATCGGGTTCTGATTCATTTAAATCACTCTCACTTATAACCTTTCATCTTTTACTTTAACTTCCTTTCCCTGGAGAATCTTTAGCCTAAAACTCCCCGTTTCAAGTTATTCCCACTCTTTTTATTTCATTTTTTTGAATGAAAAGTAAATTTGTATTAACACCCAAAAGAAAAACTATACATCATGAGTTTTAGATCTCCTAACCCCCCCCCCCCCACCCCTACCTAGTGTAGGGGTTAGGAGAGGTTTTTATTCGATCTAATTCAGAATAGAAATAAAAAATGGGGGGCCTAAGTATACAATACCCAATGCCCCAAGCCTTACAAAAATAACTCAGTGCTGCAAACATGCACGCACATAGCTCAAAGAAATTCCAAAAATCAGGCTATAGTTAAAGGAGGTTATATAATACTCTCCCTTAATCCAAAAACCAAAATAGAATGTGTGATGCAAGTTGCATCCACGTTACTCCACCAAATATCATGTGTCACGGCTTCAATGGTTGTAGTCTAGCACTCATCCTCAAAATTTAATCATCTCACACGAGTATATATTGAAAAGTATCTTATATACCACGTGTTTAATCTTCGCAACAATTTCGTCTTCACTCTTGCTTGCACCATCAAATTGGTTAGCGTTCCTAGCATGCCAAGTGTAATAGACTGTAGCGCAAAAGGCTGCCCGAACAGCTTTTCCCTTCAACCTTGACCCCTTATGCTCCTTCAAGATCCACTTGACCGAGCTAGACATCGTAGTCATTTGGTGCCCATCCCTAGCCAATTCTTGATTTGCTCCCATATCCTGCAAGTGAAAGGGCAAGCAAAGAAAAGGTGTGGCCTTGTCTCCAATCCACCTTTGCAAAGATCACATCTATTCACTATATACAGATATTCAAGATGATCCTGAGTAGGTAACCTATTTCGGAAAGCAAGCCAAACATTAAAAGAGAACTTGGGAGGGATATAAGATTTCCAAATAAAGTTCATCCATACCCTAACCGTCCCTTTTATTCTCAACAATTCATAAATTTTGCTAGAAATCAATGTTGGAAAAATGTGTTAAAAATTGCATTAAATGGTCATTTTGGGGCAATTATTTGAGTGGGGTCCACTTCCGATTTGGGTCGGGTCAAAGTGGTTTCGGATTGTCCTTGTTAAGGTCTACAATTCGATATATGGTACACTCAAAAAGGATAACGGGTGAATGAGAAATTGATTCTCGAAGTTCACTCGTTGAAATGGAAAAACTGGCAAAATGATGAGTTTCTAGTGTGTTTTATCCCACACCGAAAAACTCAAGGGATTTTCACCCCCTTATAAATGGAAGCCTCTTTTAAGGAGTTAAGATTCATAAGGGTAAAGGCTCTCTCTTACGCGCAAGGGGGTGCCGATCAAATCCCGAAACGGAGAAGAAAAACCGTGACTCGTGTGCGCGGGCGACCTGCGACACGAATGTCGTCCAAAAATCTATCTCTCAAGAGGTGTTCTGTTGGCTTCGGGCAGAACCCCTCAAAGGGGGTGTTCTGTTGGGGTCTTCTGTCGCGCAATTCTTCCGTTACAA